TGTAGGGCAGATATAGTGCATGTGTAGTGCAGATGTAGCAGGGGTGTAGAGCAGGTGTAGGGCAGATATAGTGCAGGTGTAGGGCAGATGTAGCGGGGGTGTAGCGCAGATGTAGGGCAGATATAGTGCAGGTGTAGCACAGGTGTAGCGAGGATGTAGCACGTGTATAACACAAGTCTAGCGCAGAGGTTGCGACGCACCTGTCCGGCCCTGCAGAGCTTGTGCAGCGCATCATTCTCTATCTGTAAGCGGTCCAGCTGCTCCTGAAGCGAGTGGATCTTTATTTCACTGCTGCGTTTGTCCACCTGCCAGTAATCTGCCGTATCAGTCAGACTCTTCATCACTGACAGGAGAAAAACAACTGTTGAACTACAATATTCAACGCAACAGGCCATACTGAATATTCATGATATACTATACATTAATAATTAGTTCACATTAACACAGCCTCAATTCATATTTGATTTTAACTTGTTTTAGTAAAAATATATTTGGATTAATATTGCTGTTTGTATGCACTGTTATGCTACAATGAAAATGATTAAATATTCTTGAGTTCATTTACTGAGAAACAATGCGGAAAACATTACTTAAACTAGGTTTTTACTGTCTGCTAGTAATAATATGTAATATATTACTATTTAACATTAAATAAGAATAATAATTTAATATTTCAACAATATAATATTTCATAACTAAGCATGTAAGAATATTATTAATTGAATATTATAATATTTAATAAAATATTTTACTATGAGTTTACTTATAAATAAAACAACTTATTTTAATTCGATTTTTACTGTATTTTACTAATCATATTTAATACTTTACTAGTAAATTTTTTATAATATAGAAATAATTAATTAATTTAACAACATAATAATATAAGAATTTACTAGTAACTTTTAATAATTTAACAGTATAATAATTTAATAATTCAACAATATAATAATATTTTATCCTACAACATACTTTAATATTATTTTATACTTTAATAGTACTCAATTCAATATATTTATTTTTAATAAGTGACAGTGCAGAAAACGTTTTTAAAGATTTTACTAGAATATTAGAATAATATTATATAATAATAGAATATTTACTAATAACATTTAATCATATAAAAATAATGTCATAATTCAACAATATCATAACATTTAATAATTTACAAATATAATGTATTATTTGTGACCCTGGAGCACAAAACCAGTCATAAGGGTCAATTTTGTGAAATTGAGAT